ACGCGATGCCATAAAGAAGTCGCAAGCGTGCACATGCGTAGTAGTGGAAGTTACATTTTCGGTAGGTGTAACATTTTCGGTAGTGACACCCCTACCTATATCGCTCAATTAAGGCCGTTGCGAAATTCTTGATAATCTTTGATTATTATAGGTAGCAATGTAAAAACAAATACTGTCATCTATTGTCTCGGAGTATGTTGACGGGTCCCGTACCGATCCATTATCTGGGATCTATTTGTTTTGACTTGCTGTACAGGGTAACCAATCAGATGTTTATTTATTTAATTTTGGCACTCTTAGCCCTCCATAGTAATTACTTACTTTTTGTTTCATCAATTTGTCAACAAGCCGATCTTCAGATACAAGTGGTAAGTAGATGATTTGACACCTGACATTTTCTCATGTTCTGTGTTGAGTACTTTGTCACTTTTCCTGGTCATTGGCCCTATCCAAGGTGCCCAGAATTGGTTTAACAGCACAAGGGTTCTGTGCCTGACCTATTACAAAACAAGATACAATGTCATCCATCGCAAAAAACACAGATTACCAGATTACAAGATTACAAAGATTACAAAGCCAGAAGAAATCATCTCTTGATTTATAGCATCCCAGAAATCCACAATGCTTTGCTCAACAGTATAGTTGACAGATGGATCTTTGAGATCAATGACTGATAAAAGACAGACAAAGTGATGATACTTTTTTAAAGTAATTTCAGTATTTACTAAACCGTTGACTTAAACATAACTAATTAATTACCAGCCAAATTAAAAACAGCCTTTTTATGCAGGTCCATCACCACAACAGAAGGGCAGTAGTCACACAGAACACAAGCATATGTGTAATCTGTGCTTGTTAGTGCCTCAAAGTGGCAGTAGGCATGCAAAATCCTGTCTGTCAGTGGAAACTGTTTTTTCCGCAAATTTTCCAGTGTTGATAGCCCTTGAAACAGAAATGTGGTTCTGAAACAAAAAGAAAATAATTATGTGATCTGTCAAAGCCACAGTGCAACATAAAAACCTCTTCACACAGATTTACCTGAAGACTGTGTCTTAAACAAAGACATAGTTCAAGGCTCAACAAAGGATGATCATCAAAGTTATGAAGTCCATCTTGCCACTC